TATATGTTTTGTTTTTTGTTGCTGTCAGATATCTACGACAGCTATGGTTTTTCTGAATACTCTTATGCATTCTTTGCAAATTTATGCAAATTAGTTGCAGGTCTCGCTCAAAAAACGGACTCGCCCGCAACGCGCTAGCCAAATCCATCAACGCCACTCCGTCCGCAGTGCTTTATCCAAAAGCCCGCGGTCTTGTCGGCAAATAGCACCGATTTTGGTCCCAAATGGATTACCTTATCTCGTCAAATTCACACCTCCTTTGTATTTTATCCCTAATTCTGCACCCCAGCGTATTGATGTGGTGGAAGCCTTTCGGACATGTGTAAAGGTACTTAATGATTACGATTAGTTTTTGTTCTGCTATCTCGAGCCATGGGCTATAGCACTCAATTTTAGCCTAATGTTGACTGTCTCAATGTTCCTTGCACTTCATCTACTTCTACGTCATCCGAATCGGAAGGCATTTGTGCTGATTATCTCAGTAAGGTGAGATTATTTGTAATAACATTGCGCGTCTGGTTAGATTCGTTCTTATATTTTGGAGTTCTAGTCCTTAACATTTGGCTTGAATTATTGCTTTAGAACAGCAATTCTATGACATCTTCTGCTTACGAGGATGAACAAGTACCTCGTCGACTCAACGGCTCTCTGTATAGGAATGTGATCAATATGGATCGTTCGGTAGACTTCTCGGATTACCCTGCCTACAGGTGAGCCGATTAGATATGCAAATGACATATTCATTCATATAATAGGATCTTTGGGGCTCTCAAGCACCTAGATTTCAGCCGAATAGCCAAGGCCCGCTCATTACATGCGACGCGACCTAGCCTACCATACACCTTGCGCGAACTACTCAGCAGTAAATTACTAGAGCTTATCCTTATAACGCAGAAAAACAACTAAATACTACTGGAATAACTACTAAAGAACTACGTAAACAAAACCCCAACGCGGCACAGATTGCCGCATCCCGTGCTACCGATGGCGCGTCTGTAAACTCGAGATTGATCCTCCCGAGGCTTCACCAATACAGATCCGCCAGGCGTCGCCGGATGACAGGCGCGACTACCTCGCTCCCAACGTTTATAAGATCTCAATATCCTAAATATCAGCTCCGAAAGTGGCTCGCCTGAAATGAATTCAGCATCCGATTCCCGATAAGCTCAACCGCTACCGTGACAATGACATCAAAGGCGGGAGCTAAGCTGTTAAGTGCGAGCGCAATAGAAAACATGAGAAAATCGATCAAAAAACGAATAGACACTTAGTGAAGCGTCGCTGTTTATAGCCTTTTGGCCGGCAACGCATTAAGGCAAGGAGACGTCTGGAGGCGATTGCGGCAAGCATGAGAAAGTGCCGTGACCGTCGCTGAATAGCGCGACAGGACCAGTATTCCCGGCCTCCTACTTCTGGGAGCGCTCGCATTGCGGAGCTGCAACATGATCTTTCGATAAAGAAAGCGTTTAGATGAGCAGTAATCATGACTAACCCAGCATTCACATTGCGTTGCTACTTTGCAGGCAGTGGCGTGGCAAAATGGATCTGCTTTAGCTTCTGGTTT